CCAGGCCTGCCGAGGACACCACAAGATGAAGATGAGCAGCGTGGACCGTAGGAGCTTCTTGTGGATGGATGTGGAGGATGGAGCGTACAGATGTCCCACGCAGGCAGACCGCAGAGATCACACGGGGCCCAGTAAGTGGCTGTGGTAGTGGAGGAGCGCCGCTGCAGTCCCAGTCACGTCAGCACCTGTACTCAACACGCCAAACTGTCTGCGGCTGCTCCACCAATAGCACGGGCATGTGACATCATCACCTCCTGACCCCATACCTGAGGCTTTCATGGCAATTTCAGGAGCGTTTAATCAAATCGTTCTGTCAGCTGTGTCCTCACATTCAAACAACACGCTGACTGCAAAACCCAAGAGGCCATCGGCGTCAGGTAGAAGCTGCTGCCCACTGCTGCTCACGTGCTCTCAGCTGATGGCGTCAGAGCTGTGCTCGGCCGCCGGCCAGTGATGCAGGCCGGATGAAGGATCTCGGTCCAGGAGCGCAGAGGTCGTCTCCGAGAAGTGCTAACGTCAGCTGCGTCTATTGAGGAGGGCCACGAGGCGGCTGACGGCCACCCGACTGACCAGCCTGATGAATGGTGAACGGACGCGGCACATGAAAAGGTTTAAGAAGACGTGATTGTGTGTTTAACTGTTTGCCTGTCTACCAGAGGTTTGTTTGGTGACGACTAGACCTCGTGTTTTGGGGGTAAACTGTCCCTTTAAGAGCTGCTTTGAGCCAGAGCACGCATGTACTCTGGTTTGTGTCACGCACTGCGCTGGAGCGGCAGCACTGGAGAGTTAGAGGCTACAAAAGTAGGCGTGGCTATCCACACATGAGGTTAATGTGCTGGAAAAGTGTAAGACGCTGCTGTATTTAGCCCGGGAAGCTGAGTTTGTGGTGGGATGATTTCTGTAGAGCTCTGAACACGCCACGGTGCCGCGGTCACGTGCTGTGAGCAGGTTGGTGTAAGTAATGCACTTTACTGTCAGTTAAAGTGTGAATTGTTGGATGTAAACAATGCGCTTATTGCTTTTTGCTCTCTTTTTGTGTATTTGTTTCTTGACAAGGCGCTACTGTTGTATGTACTGACTGAGTTTAATATGTGCATATGATATTTACTGCTGTCTCAGATCCTGGAAGACGGTTTTAGGCTGAGCCCGTGGAAAACTGCCGTCTTGTGGAATTTACTCTCACGTTCTTTTCCAGCTTCTCTGAAACTTGGTTGGCACAGCAGCTGTTTTACTCAGTCGCACTGCGTTTGCTCCCATGCTGCCAGTCTGCATTCAGACTGGATCTGACACTCTGCAGTCAGCGCACCCGTCCATGTTTGTGGTTGGGCAGATGGTGAAAGCCCCGCCCTTTTCATTAACCAGCTTGATGTACCGGCTCCTAACTGCCACTGCTGGGATAAGTGAATCCAGATTAAGGCATAGCTAGCCTGGGTTTGTGGAGTTCCCTCGTGGTCCGGGCCTCTCAGCTGTCTGAAGACTTGAATTGAAACCAGCGGCTGCGTTTGGAAAGCTGGCTCTGAGTGGATTTCCCAAAACCTCCCAAAATTCCAATGTGTGCACCACATTCCTGATTTTACTCTTTCAGATGTCCGGTCTGCAACTATTAGTGCAAAGAAAACAAACAGCTTGCAGAAACCACTCAATCCTGACGTTGCCATGACGTTTGTGTGTTCATGCCACAGTCGCTCATTTCATGACGTGACGCTCGTTTGGATGTTTTTCCACATTAAAGCATTTATCGTGCGCTACATCTGCCTCTTATCTCTCACACAGGAAACAGTGTGTGGTGTTGGACGGGGTTAAATCTCCATATTTAGACTGTGATACAGGGGTTCCTCAAGGATCTGTTCTTGGGCCTTTATTGTTCTCTCTTTTTATCAATAACTTACCTGAAGTCTGTCCAAATATATTTGCTCAAATGTATGCGGATGATGCAGTTATATATACGCAAGCAAATAGTGTCCAGCAGGTGGCAAAAGATCTTACAGCTGCTTTAGCATTAATGCATAGCTGGCTGGAGGACTCATGCCTAATGTTGAACACCTCAGAAACTGTCTGCATGTATTTTTCAAAACGCCCCTTAAACTTGAAGCAGTCAAACATATTCCTGGATGGAGCAGAGCTTGAATTAGCTCCAGAATTTAAATATCTTGGGGTCATTCTAGACCCAACATTATCCTTCAAGAGTCACATAAATAAAGTGTCCCAGGTACTTAAATTTAATAATCGAAATTTTAATCGTATACGTAATAATTTAAATATGAATGTTGCAAAAACTCATTTTTACTCAGTGATCATCTCTCATATGGACTATTGTTTGACGTCCTGGTCACTTGCTTGTCCAACAACACTTAAAACTATTGAAAACATTTATAAAAGAAGTTTAAAACTACTTGACAAAAAACCGACTTCCCACCACCAAAAACATAAATTACTGAACTTCAATAACTTAGTGAAACTTAAAAGAGTGAGTTTAATATATAAAGCCTTACACTCCCTCCACCACCACTGAAGCAGTTCATTAGGCGTAAAGAAAGCTCAGACAGGACCACTCGAGCTACAACCCACAGAGACGCGTTTACACCCCACAGACGGACAGCATTTGGGCAGAACGTCCTCTCTGTGCAGGGCGGCCATCAGTGGAACAGTCCTCCGTTAGAAAATGCTCGACATTCAACTTGTGTGTGTGTGTGAGTTTGGTGATGGAGTTTTATTATGTATGAATTATGAATTATTTGTCTATTTTTAATATGTTTTTTGGACAACAGTTGGAAATTAGCCTTTGGCTATAATCTGGTATGTTTACATGTTCATTAACATGCACCGTCCTAAATAAATAAATGAGACTCACAGTGGCTGTGGACACCCAGCCTGGTTTTGGACACCCAGCCTGGCTTTGGACACCCAGCCTGGCTGTGGACACCCAGCCTGGCTTTGGACACCCAGCCTGGCTGTGGACACCCAGCCTGGCTGTGGAGCACATCTGCTGTGCTCGCTGGCAGCTGAACAAAACTCATCTCCTGTAAATGTAATCACACTGCATCTGTTTACAGCAAGTCTGCTCACGTGCAGTGAAGCTGTGCGTGTGCGTGCGCGCGTGTTACGAGGCGTGCTGTCAGCAGTGGCGGCGTGCAGCCCTCATTATTCTGTCGACACGCCTTGTACGGTAACCCAGCCTGTGTGAGTGTATGCGTGGCTCGGCGCCAAGAGTAAGGCGCCACTTTACGAGCAGGATGATCTCACCTCGACCCTCCTCTGAACACAGCGTGCATTCAGCAGCGAGTGCAGCTGTGAATGGAGGGCTTGTCTCAGAGACGCTGGGGTGGTGGCAGCAGATGCGCGCTTGTTATACTGGAGCTGTGACTTAATTCTGGAGGTCGTCTCCAGCTTTACCGCCAGCTGCGAGCCAGCCGACGGCAGCGTGGACTGTTGACGAGCTGCTCAGCTAACAAGACGCAACATGTGAGCGGAGCGGCGCGGTTGTACTGGAAGATTTTCCCTCTGATTGTGTTTCTCAGAGGTTTTGTGCACAGCAGAGATGTGATCGCGCTGTGTTTGACACCACAGATTTACAGAAGACACTTTTTCTTTCCATCCTCATGCTGAGTCTCCACTGCAGCAGCTTCATAACAGAACAGAATAAATGCAAAGCTGAGCGTAGCTCTGCAGGGCTCACAGATCAGTCTGCACAGTCCAGTCCTTGTACCCAACCTCTGACCTATGAACCATTCAAGCTTACCAAGCGATTCGAACTCTGAACCGGTGTGGAGCAAAGAGCCCATTTTAAATGTCGTTACCAGCAGCCTGTCACACAAGGACACAGTTTGACATCAAATAGAATTAATGTACCAACAGGATGTTGCCCAGAGAGCACCGGTCAGAGTGGTGTGCGGCGTGTCCTTTAGAGCTGCGGAAAGCTGCAGAAAACTGAAGCAGAGGAACAGGATCTGAAAGACCCGACACAGGAGCCGAGAGACCACCTAGACCTTCAGCGGACCATTTGCTGAAGCCTCATCAGAGATGTGAAAGGGTGAGGCTGTCAGGAAGCCATTCTTAATGGAGGATGAGGTCTAAAAACCACAGAAGAGCTGAAGGTCAGAGGAACAGGTCTGATGGAGTGATGGATCCACATCATGGTCAGTGTGTACGAGGAGGTCAGGAGGAGGAGTCTGCAGCCATGCTCTGTCTTGGTTTCAGCTGCAGGTCAGTCGGTGGTGTTTGAGCCACCATGCAGGAACATCTGGAAACATCAGCTTCATGTTTCAGCATGACAGCGATCCAAACAAACTGCCAGTGCATTACAACCTGGATAGAAACACACAGGGGAACTCTGCCAGCATGGCTGGAGCAGAGTGGGATCATCCTGATGGGAAGCCCTCCAGGAAGCCTGGAGAACTGCTCCTGCAGATGCTCGCAGAGCTGACGGAGAGCTGAAGCTGCTCACAGCAACTCTACAAACTCTGCTTTTGGCCTTTTCTCCTGAATTCACATGCATGTCTGCACATGTTTCCACTGTCTGAGTGAGCGTTTGAGTAGGCGCTGGTGTTTATAGGAAGCAGTCAGAGAAGGCTTGTTGGAGCGACAGAGGTGGAAGTGTCAGCGCGATGCAGGAGAACATCGCTCAGCACGCCGGCTTCATTTTCACCACGGATCAAATCCTAGTTCGTGCCAAGCGGGCCGTGCTGCCGGGTCTGCTTTTAGAGCTTGCATAGAAATAAAACACCTGGTTTTCATGTGTGACGTAGATGTAGGCTTTCAGTCGCTCTCACTGCCGCTTTGTCAGATACATCTGTGAAAATGCTCATCGGCCAATCACACGGCAGCACCTCTGCACGTGTGGGCACGTGGAGACGGCCTGCTGTGAGACCAGGATGATGAAGAAAGCTGGTTTGAGCGTGAAGGCTGATCTCTGACGTTTACAGGGAAAAGGAGAAATATTGCAATTTTATCAGTCCTGTAAATGCTTTTTTATAAAACCACTAAAATAAAGTTTACACCTCTTTAAAGATCAATAAGAAATGCTTTTATTACCACGTTTCACTGAGAGAATAAATATCAAATGAAAGTGATATGAAAACCAATAATGGAGTCTGTACAGATAAACACTGTTTGTCATCAGATGACTTCATATGAAATAATCATCAGATCCAAGTATCGGCTGGCGAGTAGCCGCCACAGCTGCAGTTCCTTTGATGACCAGCAGGCGATGACCTGAAGCGAGCGCCAGCGCTGCAGCGTGGTTGGAAAACTGAGGCCGAGCCAGCTGAGCACAGGCTCCTCAGTGTCAGCGAGGGTGGAAACACTGTGGAAACACTCCGCTTACTGTGACGCTTTCATTTTAGAAATGTGCTCTTTTCCACACACAATGCTGCTTTCTTTTAATGCAGTCCTGCAGACACAGACCTGCAGCAGCACATGCATATGAGTTATACATGAGCAGATCGGACCTTCGACCCGCTCAGTTAACAAGGCGCCGCCTGTGAAACCGGCAGCGCTGCAGTCGTTCTCTCTTTGATGGAGCCGTTAGACTCGTGTCTAAATCATCACACTGTGTCTGCCATGTGCTCCTTGGTGCACATGTTTACCTTAAAGCGGGCACTAGTAGTGGGTTAATATTCTCATCACTGTAGTAAGAAGATTATTTCCATCTGCTTTCATTTCTGTTCGCACGTCTGGCTGAGTTCTGGGACCTCTGACAGCAATTGAAGCTCCCTACAAAAAAAGGAGGAGCTATGGTGGAGGTGGGTTGCAAAGCAGCTTGCAGGTGCACAGGTTAAGCTTGTTTTTGTCATTTTTGTCTTTTAGCCAACAGTGAAGGTGCAGAGCAGGTGTAGCTGTCACTGGGATGGAGACGCCACAGAGGACAGAGAGGGCTCCTCGATTGTTGATGGTCGTCACATGACTGAACTATAAGTGTGACCCGAGGCAAAAACCAAAAAAATTTCATTGAAGAAAATGTCTGACTTCAGCGAAGTTCTCACTGAAATGACTCAAAGGTTTGTTTGTTTGAAGGTTTCCAGGTGTGTTTGAGTCCGACTGTGGTCGCTCCATCGGTGGATGCTGATGAAGCTGGAGTAGGTGGAGGTCCACAAAACAGCAGCGCTCCCACTCAGGTAAAAGGGTGAAGACGGCGATGATGATGAGGTGAACCTCACAGAGGAGCAAAGTGTCCGTCTGCTGATGGCAGCGGTCATGTGACTCAGATTCCCAGCAGGATTCCAGAGAACAGAGAGTCCTGGAGGATGCTGATGGCCGAGCCCGTGGCGTTATCCACAAACACCGACACGTACTCTCCCGCCTGCACGCACGCACGCACGCACGCACACGCACGCACACACACACACACACACACACACACACAATTAATACAGACAAATATTTTAAAGCTCCTGTTTAAAAATAAATGACCAAACAGTGACAGTGAGTGAAAGCATTAATGCTGATGTCAGCATTGTGAATCCATTCATGTTGCAGCACATTAGAGCCTTTGTTCAGGTAATACCTGCCGCCTGCTCACCTGAGCTGCAGGATCAGTGAAACCTCTCAGTACCACATGCAGGTGGAACACTGATGTGCTCACGGCTGCATGCCTGCTACTCTGACTCCTTCCTGGTGAGTGACATGCCGAGGATCCCGGGATCACGTGCTGGGATTCTGTGCTTTCTCTGTTTACACGGCGTTTTTTAACTCCAGCTCTAAATGCTGCTCGGGGAGGTTTAGGACTGACGAGCTTGGAGCCAGATCCATGTCACCTGCACAGACCCCGGAGCACGCTGTGTGCATGAATGACCCACGCCACTGTTTCTATTGAAGCGGCACTAACAGAATGAAAACAGGTTTGCTCTGTATTTACATCTGGAGCATCTCCAGCTGTGCACCAGAGGCATTAATGTGCAGCTGCAATAAGACACACCTGGACTATAACATCAAGTCTTCTCTGGATTTTAGGACTCGGAGTGTTTCACATGCTCTGACTTGCTGAGTCGTGCAGAAATCCTGCTCGTGTTTTACTTGTTGCTCGAGGTTTCATGTGGTCGTTAAAGAATCCAGGTGATCTGACAGTGTGACATGATTTGGATGCGGGGACTGGACATCGTCCATCTTTTTATGTAGGATTCTTAGAGTAGTGCGTCCTCCCGTCACATAATGTCTCTGTTAAAGGTGCTGCATTAGCTCCCTGTAAACGCCTGGCTGTGCTGTTCTGTGTGGTGTGTTTTGGTGTAGGGCGACCCTCTGATGCTGTCCTACCTGCAGGTACAGCGTTCCTGTTAGCAACATGCTGAACGTTCCTCCGGCAGCTGCCACGCCCATCACCGACTCCACAGAGCTGTACAAGAAACAGCAAAAAACATCCAATCAGTGCCATGGGCAGGGCTAACATCGCCAGTCATGTGTGTGCAGTAGATTATTTTATAATGAAATAATAACAGCTGTAAGAGGACAGGCACTCACAGGTTGCTCTGGCAGAGCGACTCGATGCAGATGGCTGCTTTCACGCTGTCTCTGAGTCGCACCTGCACTCTGTCACCAGACTCTGTCACACATACGCACATCAGAGTTACAAGAGCATCCCTGCTGCCTGCTAACCGGCTCCTTCCTCTTATTTGAGTTTCTTAATTCATCAGTTTTCTGTCTCAAACACAATAAAATATCTGAATGAAATTTGGTGTAAATATAATTATGATCAGGGGCGGATCTACAGGGGTGGTGCCCCATGCCACCCCTTCAGATCCACCCCGATCATGATGTGGCCAATCGGCCTGGAGCTGAGTCCATCACCATCTCAATGTTTGTGCTCGTCGGTGTTGGGCAGAAACAGAATTCATGTACCAGCATAATGTAATTAAAAATACAAAATATGAGTAACTGTATTTTGTTACAGTTACCGTTTAAAAAGGTGATAATCAGAATACAGCTACTTTGTTGAAATATATGGATTAATGTTTCATATGTTAGGCTATGCCCTCTCTAATGTCAGCGTCCTGTTAATGTTGGTGGGACCCGGAGCCAGCACAGCAGAGCCAGCAGTGCACGGGCCAGCTGCCCTGGGGCAGACTGACAAAGGCGAGGCTGCCATATCGCGCCATCGACCCCTCTGGCCAACACCAGTAGGCGGTAGGTGAAGTGTCTTGCCCACGGACACAACGACCAACCAGGAGAGCTGGGGGATTGAACCGGCGACCTTCCGGTTACAGATGAGCTTCCCAACCCCTGAACCACAGTCGCAGTTAGCAGTTCCTCAGTGGTCCAGCAGAGGCAGCAGTGATCCATGATAAAAATACAGCAGACCTAGCTCACCTGTTTGAATTTTTGCATTATTAGGGGCGTGGCCTCACAGATGAGCAACATCTGAAATTCTGGGATTTTGGTTGGCTGTTACTGAGCAGTGATTAGCACTGCCACTCCCCCCTCATCCAAATGAGGTCACGTGGCTCCAGAAAAACGTCCAGCGCCCCCAAACCTGAACCTGACCAGGTGGAGAGGATGGATGGATGATGGATGATGGATGATGGATGGATGATGGATGGATGATGGATGGATGATGGCTGGAATCACTGTGACTGCTATCACAGGGACCACGCATGTGTTTGGACCGTGCTGAGGCCTCGTCTTTACTGAACATGTGAACATGAAACATGACATCATGTTTATTTTTATTAAATAATCAAAACTCAGCGTCATGACAACCAAACAGCACATCAGTGCGCGCTCAGTCTCAGCTTATTCCACCCTGAACAGCGCTCCCAGACTCTGCTGCAGCTTCTCATTTTCACTCTGTTTTCTGCATGTAGGTTATATAAATACTGTGTGTGTGTGTGTGTGTGTGTGTGTGTGTGTGTGTGTGTGTGTGTGTGTGTGTGTGTGTGTGTGTGTGTGGAGGCAGCCTGTCTGAGTCCTTAATAGGGGTAATTTTGTGGAGTGTGGATGTGACTTGGCTCAGCTGCAGGATTCCTGACATTCCTGCTGACTGATGGTGTGTCTTGTGTGGTTGTGTGTGTGTGTGTGTGTGTGTGTGTGTTGTGTTGTGTGTGTGTGTGTGTGTGTGTTTGAGTGTGTGTGTGTGTGTCTGGTTTTCTTCTGTGTGTTTGTATTTGGGAGGATTACAGACTGTTTCCACAGGGCAGATTTTTTCAGTCCGGTGTGCCAAACGTGACCAGAACAAAGAGCTTTTTATGGATTTCTGTAGAAGTTGTTCACGTGTGCTCCAGCTCACGGAGCCGACTGTGTCTTTCTGTCCCACGTGGAGCACGAGTGACGGTTCCACTCGTCTTCATGCAGCGTTACCTGCACGTAGGGTTTAAACTCAGCCTAAACTCACCAGTTTGATCAGTCAGGGCAGTAACACACGTTTGTTTCTGAAGCTGTCAGGAACACACGCACACATTAGCAGGGACTCGATACCTTTGCTGCAGGTGCATCGTGACTTCCACGTGTAGTAGGCAACATCCAATCAGAATCCTCAAACGTCCCTGTGCACCAACGCTCTTGCTCAGCCTTTCTGGACGTTCTGTTAGCACAGAAACCTCACAGCAGACACACAGACACACACACACACATTCCAGTAACTCTC